TTCACATGGCATGCTTAACTGGGACACTGCTGGGATACGTGTGTTATGCAAACACATCACTCAGTCAGCCATCATACAGAAGATAATTACTTTTCATCCATATAGAAATGTTTTATTTTGGGTTAACTATGCTTACCTGGTTATCTATGTTGTGCAAACAGCACAGTCCAGCCAAAAGTGGAAATGCCCAGTTAGTCCTTCAAAAAAACTAACTGGGTATAGAAAGTAGCCAAACAAGCCTCTCCATTACATTTCTCAGTGACGAGAAACCCAGAAACATTTAGCATATCTCCCAAACACTGGTTCCCCACTACTACTTGGCCAATGGTGGGGAGGTGTATGATGTATTCAAGTCTTGCTAGTATTTTTATGACATAAGGGCTCAGATGTCAGACACTTCCAAAAATAATAGGTGTGGACACGGAATTTCCAAAATATTGACTTTCAACACTGTTACTCTGAGATACTTGTTACTGTGACAGCATGTTGCCAAACCATGCTTCAGGAGGTCCAAGGGGGTTAGGGGTTGATTAGTTTAAATGTCTTGTAACAAGGCCAGTTACAAAGTGATTACAGGGTGGAACTAATTGCCCGGCATTGTTTTGTCTTCTATGTGATCTTTGCCAGATTAAAATATTGCTCATTACACTATTTGATCCAGCCAGAAGTTAGTTGTTTTAAATAAAAAAAAGTTAACTATATCTAATAAGCATATCAAAGGTGTGGCTTTTTCTGTTTGATACACCAGATTGTTGCTAGTTACTATACAAATGTACTGAGTAATTGACCTCTTGTTAGTTCAATTATTTTAGTGATGAAATAACTACTTTAGCATATTTAAAACAGTACTGTAATTGTTAATGAATTTATGTGATTATTCTTCCCTTACATTAATTGGATTGACTCTGAAGCTACGCTCATTTACCCTTGGCTTGATTTTTTTCCTTTGGTGGGGAAGGTGCCTTCAAGTCAGTCTTGACTCCTGGTGACTGTATGGACAAGTCTCTGAAGTTTTCTCGTCAAGATTTACAGAAGTGGTTTGCCTTTGCCTTCCTAGGGCTAAGAGAAAGTGACTGGTCCAATGATACCCAGTTGGCTTCATAGCTAAGATCTAGAATCCATAGTCTTTCCATTTCTAGCCTTGTGCCTTAACTACTAAATGAAAGTAGCTCTCATATTGTTAATTATTTGATTTATATCTCATATTTGCTTCAGGACTCAAGATGAGGTATTGCAGTCCAATTTTAATTGTACCACAAGAAATCTTTAGGTTTGACCCATGATTATACTGTTTCTCATCTCCTTATTGTTATTGTTTTGGCTAACTGAGAGATGTCAGTTCAGGAATAATCTGACGGTTTCTCCATCTGAGAATATTTCTTCTGTGGGAGACTTCATATATAAAGATAGCATATGGAAACATTCCTTAACTGTGTCTATTCAGCCAAAAGAATTAGGGTATGCCTGTACACTAATTCTTTCGAGTCTTAGAAATTCTTGGATTTATGCCATTGTCCAAACATTCAAAGAGTTATTTCTTATTTATGGCAAATTTTTCTATCCTTCTCCTAACCCTCCAGCACTATTATTGGTACTTTCAGTTTTCATCTAGCTGATACAGATCCCTAAAATGTCTGTTGTTATGGTTTTGTATTTCTTGGCTATCCTGCAGAGAAATCTGAGATGCCTATATCTATCTCATGCACTATTTGGACTTCGGCAAATATTTTTTGCTTGAGTTTGTTTTGAAAATCTTCCTAAAATGAAGTCATGGTATACAAGGTCCAAGCAAATGCTGGATATCATTAAGTCGGATTTGGTGTGCTGTGTGAATCCAACCAGTGAAATTTATTTCAGTGCCAACATGCCTAGGATCAAGATATAAGTGAGAGGACTCATTTCCACATTGTGTCTTTACCAGGTCATGGCAGTTTTTTATCCTTGTGGGCCAATAGGCATTAAAACTTCTGCTCTTTCTTTCTTTCTTTCTTTCTTTCTTTCTTTCTTTCTTTCTTTCTTTCTTTCTTTCTTTCTTTCTTTCTTTCTTTCTTTCTTTCCTTCCTTCCTTCCTTCCTTCCTTCCTTCCTTCCTTCTTTCTTTCTTTCTTTCTTTCTTTCTTTCTCTGTACCTCTGTAGGTATAGTAGGAATGCACCTTGTCTTGCACATCTTAAGTAGTGCCCTGCTGCATCAGATTCCTGACCCCTGCACCCTCTAGCAGGCAGTTCTCACCGTGGCCATCAACAGGCACAAGGAAGTCTCCTCTAGTCTCTCAGCAGATGGCTTCAGAGGCTGCCACACTGCATCAAAGCTAGTAACAAGTGGTTCTCCATGAAGTAGTCCAAGATAATAGCCAGAATCACATCTCATAGAAGTCAATTCCAAAGTTCACATGTTCTAATTCTTTCAGGATTCACTTTCATTGGGTGAATTCTGGTAGTATTATTTTGGGAAGGAGAAAATAGCTTTTCCTGGTCTACTTTAGGCACAGCATTAATTTGGACATAGCACGTGTGAACCCAACCAAATTTACTGGAGTCAAAAAAACTGTTATTAAATGGCTTAGCAGTATACAGGTAGTCCTCAACTTACAACAGTTCATTTAGTGGCCGTTCAAAGTTACAATGACACTGAAAAAAGTGAGTTATGACCATTGTTCACACTTATGACCATTGCAGCATCCCCATGTTCATGTGATCAAAGTTCAGACGCTTGGCAACTGGCTCACATTTATAACAATTGCAGTGTCCTGGGATCATGTGATCATCTTTTGTAACCTTCTGATAAGCAAAGTCAATGGGAAAGTCAGATTCACTTAACAGCCATGTTACCAACTTAAAAACTGCAGTGATTCACTTAACAATTGTGGCAAGAAAGGTTGTAAAATGGAGCAAAATTCACTTAACAAATGTCTCAGCAACAGAAATTTGTGGCTCAATTGTGGTCATAAGTGGAGTACTACCTGTATAAGAAACAATCTATATATCAGGTATTAGCAGCTTTGGTGATGATTGGATGGGAGGTTACCCCTTCCCACTCCTCATGTTTGAGTTTCAGATTGGACCTGTTCATCACTCTGTTTCTTTTATCATCAAAAGACTCAATTGCAAGTTGTGCTTTTAACTTAATGTGCAGGTTGATGTTTTCCAAACCCCACTCTGTAAATTGTGCTGCATAATTTCTGGAAATGTTTAGTACAATTCCCATCTTCTCCTGCAATGTACTCTTTAATCTCTTAGTGACCCAAGTGTCTATAAATCTCTTGCCTCTTCTGATGCAAAGGTTGGCCCACTGTCTTGTTTAACATTAGAAGTGGAAATCATTAAAATGCAGAACAAGACAATCCAGCTACCAGCCAGCCATAAGTTCTCTGGGAAGTTGAGCATAGTCAGAAATAAAGCCAGCTATAAAGTTAGTCAAAGAACCGAGCATCCTTTGAGCAATATGATTTCTTAGCACAGCATAACCTTTGTCTTCAAAAAACAAGTTTACCTGATGTAACAGTTTCTTTACAAATAGCAATAGCAATAGACTTATATACTGCTCCATAGCACTTTACTGCGTTCTCTGGGCAGTTTACAGTGTAAGCCTTGTTTGCATATTGCCCCCAACAATCTGGGTAGCATTCCATGTATAGATGAAAGATGAGGTTAAACAGATTTACAGTAAATATATAATTTTTGTAGTGGTAAGTTCATTGGATGATGACCTGTCCTATAAACCAGATTTAATGAGCACCTAGTTTGCTATATTTGAGTGCTTTGTAACTTGATATAGTCTTCCACAAACTAACCTTATATGCTCCCCACAACCATCTACTGCTCCTACCACTTAGTTTCTTGCTTTCTATATATACTTTTAGTTTTTAATTAATATATCATTTACAGGAAGTCCTTGTTTAGTGATCACAATTGGGACTGGCAACTCAGTTGTTAAATGAAGCAGTTCCTAAGTAAAAACTGTCTCTGTGCTTACAATGTTACTTCAGTTCTCCTTTGCTTTACATATATGCAAAGATTGTAAACGTCAGGATTGGTTGCAAAGTTACTTTTTCATCACCATCGTAACTGTGAATGGTCTCTGAGCGAGGCAGTCACTAAATAAGGAGTACTTGTATAGTGTCTAGCCTTCCATAATGTTTTTAGAGTTTTATTTCTACTCTTTTGTATCCTTTATGTTTTTCTAATGACTACACCCCATCTCCCTTATGTTGGTGTATGACCATAATAAAGATTTAATGTAATTTGCAGCAAATATTTTGAGATTAGGGTGCACCCAGATACCCAAAGGTAAGGTATCTTTATCATTCTAATGGGAATATTTTTTTGCAAGTATATAAGATGCCAGGGACTGAACTTTTGTTTTGCAGCATACCACCTTCCCAATATTTTTTTTAAATAAAGTAATAATTAAACAAATGGAGCCTGGAGGTATTTGTGGGTAAATAGCTTGTCCATACTTGAAAGAGGATAATTTCCTGTACATCACGACTTCCAGACAATTAAAATTTATACAACATTGCTTGCTTTAATGAATCCAAACGGCCTCAAACAGATGGTTCATTTCAGTGGCACTCCACTCCTCCCAACAAGGAGTTGTGTACATGTGTGCTTTTCTGCTTTTCTCTTACAGAACTGGCTCTTAACAAGCATAATGAAGATTTAAAAAAAACAGAAGAAAGAAACTTAACTACACATCAATTACTTTGTTAGCATCAGTAACGTCTCTCCTCCTCCCTCTCTTCTTCCCCTTTTCTGCATGCCTGCTTCCGCCAGATGGGGGCTGGCTCTTGGGTGGATAGGCCAGTGACGTCACGGAAAAGCCCTGTGTCTGATCAGATGGGCTTAATATAAACCAGGTTTGTTGAGAAAGAATCAAGTGAGGCAGTCCTTGAACATATGAAGGATTTTCTGTGGGAGATTTTCCTGGTGTTCCATACTTTGAGAACTAAGGGATTCTGATCAAGAACATCGACTGGCTGCAAAAGACAATCAGGAAAGAAACCAACCAACCATCCAGCAAGGTAGTGTTTCTTTACCAAGAACAAATTAATAAACCTTCTTTTAAGCACCCAAGCAGACTTGTATTTAGAGAGCAAAAAGAAAGAAAGAAAAAAGCATTATTTGAAATAGAAGTTAAAAGTTGCATCGGAACTAGCTGTATTTCTTCACTGAACTCAGATTATTAACTGTCCAGTTGGCTGCATACAGTGAGAAAAAAAGACCAGCTTGTGCAATAGAAATGAATTTGATTCTGCCTGTTTCTAAGAAGTGATATTGTTGACTAGAATGAGAGAGAAGTGTATTCAATATGCAGGAGTTTGATACTATTCTTGCTTGGGCAAGTTCCCAGGAGTGGAGCAGAAAATGGATAGCCTTGTTCTGCTTGTGCTTTTCTGCATGGCATTCCTTAGCATCCCTGGGAATCTCGCGTTTGGAGCTTTTGCAGAAAGTTGCAAGCGATAGAGAAGTGTTTGCATCTTAAATGTCAGGCAGAACATCATTTGCTGCTTTGTTTGCATGTCTTAGCTTCCAAAGTGGTGGGATTCTCATTCATGGGACTCATCACTGAATGATGGACCAGATGCTCACTTTGTGAAGGAGAGCTGATCTGCAAATGCTGCTCTTAGATTCACTTTGGAAAAGGGACATCAGCATTCTCTTCTGTTCTGCCCGATAGCTCTAAAGGTGTTATGTCAGCTGAGAAAGAACCAAGCTTTAGCCTAAATAAGCCAAATGTCTAAATAGTTGTCATGACCGGAGCTGGTGACCATCAAGGCAACTTTCCTAAAAATGGTAGCTGCAAATGTTTCTGGCCCTCAAGAATTGCCTCACAGCTTTGTCTCTTACCAGTGCTGAACAATCCTTCCTGCAAAGTTATAAACTATCTGTAGGGAAGGCAGGATAGTCCTAGCTTACTACTCTTGAGATGAATTACAGCCTTTTACAGTAGAAGGGAATTCTTACATCACAAACATAGCATGGATACACTTTTGAACTATTTCCTCCTCCACACAACAAGATTTGTGTTGTTACTGATCCTTTAAGGGCAAAAGGAAGGAACTTAGGTATACTTTTACTGTCTCTTAAAGACTGTTAGATGAGATAGGGATGTTCGCCATCCCTTCTTTATTCTATAGCCTCTGGTTGCCCACTTGTGTCTGCAGGGCTGCTTTTCAGGAGTACAGGGAGCAGAAACAAACCAGGATTGTCAAAGGTGAACCTTCTTGGCCTCTTCCTCCAGGATGAGTGGATTTCTACTAAGTGCTCTCCTTTGCAGTAGAGCCAAGTTTCTTGGTTGCTTTGGATGGCTTTTTTAGATGGTACTCTACTGCCACTTGGTCTGCACTCTTATTGAGAGCAACAGCCATCCACAAATTACATGATCAGATGGAGGAAACAATCCAGGTTTTGAATTCAAGTTTGAAGTATTTTTATTGGTGAGCAGTTGTTACAATTCCCAAGCGCTCAACTGCTTCTTAAGGAGGAATTTCCATTGCTATGAGTATCTTTCTTCTATTTTAGCTCTTTGAAGCTACATTCAGGCAGGGAATGGGCCAATTCACCACGGTCAAATTACCACGGGACAACCCGCTGTGGGACAATTCAACAATTCAATTTAATTGGCATCCTTTCTTTAGTGATTCTATTCCACTATTTCTTCAATATTAGCGTAACTCTTGTTGTGCGGTGAGTTGTCCCGTGGCGAGTTAACTATGGCGAGTTGTGCCACAATGAGTTGGCAATGGCAAGTTAGCTGCAGCAAGTTGGCCGTGGCAAGTTGTCTTAGGCCCTTCAGGCATGCTCACCAAGGATTTCACTTGTGGGCATTCTCCATGTCAGACAGACAATGTATGCAACCTACTGGTACTTATGATGTTCACCATTTCCCTGTTGCTGTTTTTTTAGTATTGAAGGGAAAAAGCCATGACCTTGAACAATGTCACCATGCGTCGCAACAGTGGCAGTAGTTGTGGTGCCTTGCAGCCTCAGCAGCAACGTTGGAGTGTTCCAACAGATGGAAAGCATCTGGTAGTGCAGAAAGAGACCCAAGAGGCAAACTGCCAGAAAAGGTATACCCTAAACCATGAAGAATATTACCGCAAAAGCTGGTCATCAGAGTCCTCTGATTCTGTCATCTCCACTGAGTCAGGAAACAGCTGCTACCGAGTGGTTCTCATAGGGGAACAAGGAGTTGGCAAAACCACCATTGCAAGTGTCTTTGCAGGTGTGCATGACAGCCTGGACAGCGATTGTGAACTTCTGGGAGGTAGGTGGTTTTGTTTCTTGCCCCCTCCCCCTTTCCGCCTCCCCCCCCCTTTAGTTAAAACTTTTTGTGTAAGAGGCCTTTGGGAGCAAGCAAAAACAAAACACATAAATTCAAAGTTCCTGATCTTGAAGTCATAATTCTGTGGCCTCCAAAGTGATTTCAGAATGTGGTTATCTATTAAGGAAGATGGCAGAGTCAGTTGGAGATTGGAGATAACAATTTTCAGTTTGCATTGGAATGCCAACTTAATCTAATTTTGCTTTTCTTTTTTTAATGAATACACAAACTGAGCTCTCATCCTAATGTAGTATGCCTCTTTTAAAATATATATATATATTCTAGAGAAATGTTTTTGAATAATGTATATATTTGTAAATGCATGATATAAAAATGCATGATATAAGGAAAACTTGTTTGTAGAAACTGTGTACATTAGATTACAGTGTGAACAAGACTGCTTGAAGAAATGCACCCCGAAAAAAACTCAATGGTTAGAGCAAACTTTAAAAGAAAATTCTTGAGCTCAACAAACCAAATCTGTGCAAACCTGAGAAAAGCTGAATTTGACTGATGTGCAATAAATAAGAAGCAAAGACTTTTCTGATAAATTCACCAAAATGTGTATGTTACATTTTTGGGTACATAATTTTCCATTAAGATCATATGTCCTAAGGGTAATGATTATAACATCTGCTGATGCTTGCTATGTAGGAGTTAGTGTTTCTGGATAATTTTCATAAACATTCAACAGGCAGAATTCCAGCTACTTCATCATATTTTCAATTCAAGCAAGACACATCATTCATGAGTTTTCAAAGGGTACATATTATAGAAAAAAGGTGACATGCAAATTAGAATAATGGTACAGAAGCAGTTGATAGGTTTAAGAATTGTATTCATGTGAGAAAAGTAACATTTCTTCACATTATTATTAATCTCACTCAAAATTAAAAAAATGGGATCAGCTCAGAAGACAAACTTAGCATTAAAGTACTTTTTAAATATTTCTATTAGGCGAACTGTCCCAGGATTTGGACAAGGTATTAGAAACAAGCAAAATAAGAGTTTATGTTAAAAGAACGTTGCAAGCATTGAATTCAGAGATGAATTCTGAAATTGCACTTGCATGTCCCTGGGAGTATGGCACAAACAACCTCAATGGGCCTATTCCTGACTAGACAGGTCAAGGATTGCACTATTATAATCTAACTTTATATATGTCTAGCTAGAAATGTCTCTCAAAGTCAAATGTAATGAACAGAGAATTTAAGGTGGGAACAATGGAAATGAGAACATACTGATTTAAATGAAGTGTAAGACTGACTTTCAAATAACCCTGCATTAGAGTGAACTGAAAAAAAAATATTTTTTGTAAATTCTTTTGGCAAAAGCATCTTTTTATCATTATTCAACAATAACTGAAAAATTGTTCTCTTCCCATAAGGAAAAATGATAATTCAGGGTTTAGAAAGGGAAACCACTAACTTCTGTTTTCTTCTCCAAATTATGTCAGAGTTGCACCCCTAGTTAAAAGCAGAACTGCCATATTTAGCAGAACTGCTAACAAAACACTCACTTCACCTTTCCTCAACCTGCTGTGTTGGATTACAACCATAATAATCCTAATCAGTTATTCTTTGGTTGAACATTGAACTTCATCATTCCTGAAGGCTCCAGCTTGGAGGAGGCTGGGACTGATTGAATAAACAATAGCCCCAGTTAATTGGCCAGCAGTTTTTAAAGCATCATTTGATTATTTCAATAAGTTAATATTTATGTTACATTTCAAATTCTCCTTTCATTAAAAAAAGGATGTGCGGCATATTATACAGTGTACATCCTTCTTCCAATAATTTACTTTTAAAATGGATTTGCTAAAAATATAATAATTATTGTCCTATCTTCGCCTTGTAGTGTGTGGGCATTATTTTAAATTTTACATATTGGCACTGCAATAATAGTAGGCTAAATTCAATAGCATAAGCACTTTATTTATTCCATGAGAAACTTAAATTGCAAATTATGGAACTATAGGTGGGGTATATGTGATTAAAAAATATATCTTCAGAATCTGATTTCAAAATTGATTACACTTGGAACTGGGAAGTGAGAAATTTAAGAGGACTGAGAGGAAACCAAAATTTTGGGATCTTTTTGCACCATCTTCACTGCAACATGGCCACAAGAACTGAAACCTTCTGAGGATTTGTTTTAGAACAGGGGTGTCAAACTGCCGGCCCATGGGCCGGATGCGCCATGGCGAAACCACGCCCACTCCATTGCCGGCAATGGAAAAAAAGTTACGATACGTTGCGACACGTCACATGATGTTGCGAGTTGGACACCCCTGTTTTAGAACATAAAGATGTTGGAATTCTGGAAATTGTAGTCCCAACACATCTGGAGGATTTTAGAGTTTGGCAAAATTGCCACAAAAATAGATTACAGGTGAATTCAAGCAATCTTTTGCTCTAGCAGGAATTTTAATTGTAATATCCTTTAGGAAGCATAAAAATATAATATTGTAATAAAAATATAAGGAAGAGAATTGCCAGTTTGTTGTAGGAAGGGGCACACTCAAGATAGCCACCCCCTTGAATCTACCGTATGTACTTTTGCTCCAGAATAAAGCTGTTTAAGTTGCTTGCAGCTGTAATGCCTGCTCAGTCATAAATTGAGTGAAAACAAATATTTTCCATTACTAAGCCTAACTGGAGTCTCCAGGACTGCCTGCAGCTCCCATGGGGGTCAAAAGGTCATGTTTGCTTTATTTTTTTTCCCTTTTGGATCTTCTTTCTACTCTTCTTGTCCTACTTAGGAGAAAGAAAACTCCAGCAAAAAATCAATGTAGTCATTTTTCTTTTTTTCTACCATGGAAATTATACAATTCTGGAACTCGTGGAAATGTTCAGATCTTTGCCAGAGTCTGATATAAGAATGTCAGATGTAACAAGTTGTTTTTTTCCTAACATTTGTCTGGTGTGATGGCCTGGAGTGGAAAGAACAGGCATGAAATACAGTCAAAATAGACTTAGCTGCCCTGTTGATAGATACAGATGGCCCACAGCAGTGAATCTATATTTTCTGAGCTCGTATCTGTAGATCATTTATTTCAAATGCAACCCAAAAAAACCCTGAGATAACTTTCCTTACTGTGAAAGAATCAGTAGAAAACCATGCTTTATCTTGTATCAGAGTTCAGTTAGTATGAGCACTGAAGTCCAAGATACAAAAATTGGCAGGCCTCCTCCAAATGTTTCTTTAACCGTGATGGGTTTTTTTTAATGGAATTGAAGAAAACATCATCACATGATTTGATGGGGGTTCTAGACACTGTATTTAATTTTAATTAAATGTGAATAATATGAATTGAAAGTTGATTTATTGTATCCCCATCTCCTGATACTTGTGTGTATCTCCTTGCTGGCTACTCAAGTATTAAGTGTGGCTCCCAATGCAGGAAAAGTATTTTATTCATTTTGTTACATAGAGCAGAGGTACCCAAAAGGTACCCAGGGACTAGTTCCATGGAGAAAGGTTTTTCCCTGGATTGGAGAGTGCGTGGTTTTGTGTGCTGTCTGCATCCCACGGATGGGGATTTGTTTGTTTGTGCAGATCGGTTGCTGGCATGTCGTGGACCGGTACATGGGTTGGGGACCTCTGACATAGAGACATGCTGTTGGTTAAAATGGAGAGATATAACTGATGAAGAGTTTTGTTAAACTTAAAAGTCTACCTAATTATTCCCACCTGAAATAGTTTAATGTTGTCTCTTCTCTTTTGGTATGGCATCCACAATGTATTGATGATTTATTTCATTGCTGCCAAAGAGGGAATTTTCATGTTTCTAACCTTTACTTTGCCTAACATTAAAGTCTGAGTTATATAGTGAAAAGGAAGAAAAAAAGGTCACATATTTTTGTGTTCTTCATTCTAGAAGACAACTATGAACGAACTTTGCAGGTAGATGGCGAAAGTGCAACTATAATGCTTCTGGACGTCTGGGAAAACAAGGTAGTGTGCAAAATCATTTTGTCAGGCAGAAATTTTCATGTATGTTGTTCATGTGTTCATTCTCATTCTTTAATTTTGCTGAGTGAAATACGTAGTTACATAAATGCATTTTTTTAAAAAGTCCTTAAATCTAGCAGCAAGCACAGTTAAAAATATTGAGAAGCCAAATTTCAGGGTTCTCCTGCTCAAGCAGGGGGCTGGACTAGAAGACCTCCAAGGTCCCTTCCAGCTCTATTCTATTCTATTAGCTCAGTGTCAAAATCACAACTTGTTAGCTAGTCTATATAGGAGGCATTTGAGGTCAGCCTATAGTGCGTTTGTGGTGGACCCCTCTTGCTCTCACTTGCTGGTGTTACTTCTAGCAGACAAAGATATAACTAATAACTCTGGCTAAAGTTATTTCATTGCTTATAAAAGCCTCTAATTATTTATTAGAATAGAATAGAATAGAATAGAATAGAATAGAATAGAATAGAATAGAATAGAATAGAATAGAATAGAATAGAATAGAATCAGAGTTGTACTTTGTAGGTTATCTAGTCCAACCCCCCCACCCTAGTAGGAGACCCTGCACCATTTTTGACAAATGGCAGTCCAGTCTCTTCTTGAAAGCTTCCAATGATGAAGCTCCCACAACCTCTGAAGGCCATCTGTTCCATTGGTTGATTGTTCTCGTTGTCAGAAAATTTCTCCTTATTTCTAGGTTGAATATCTCCTTGATCAGTTTCCATCCATTATTCCTTGTCTGGCCTTCAGGTGCTTTGGAAAACAGGCTGATCCCCTGCTCTCTGTGATAGTCCCTCAAATATTGGGACACTGCTATCACGTCTCCCCGGTCCTTTTCTTCACTAGACTAGCCATGCCCAGTTCCTGTAACCATTCTTCATACATTTTAGCCTCCAGTCCCCTAATCATCTTTGTTGCTCTTCTCTGCACTTTTTCTAGAGTCTCAACATCTTTTTTACAGTGTGTGACCAAAACTGGTTGCAGTATTATAGGTGTGGTCTTACTAAGGCTTTATATAGTGGTATTAGTACCTCATGTGATCTTGATTGAATCCGTCTGTTAATGCAATTTAGGATTGCATTGGCTTTTTTGGCTGCCACCGCACACTGTTGCCTCATATTTAATTCATGGCCCACTAAGACTCCAAGATCCCTCTCACAGTTACTGCTATTAAGCCTGGTTTTGCCCAATCTATATGTGTACTTTTGATTTTTCTTGCCTAAGTGTAAGACTTTACTTTTATCTACATTGAATTTCATTTTTGTTAGATAGGGCCCAGTGTTCAAGTCTGTCAAGATCCATCTGGATCTTGGGGCTGTGATCTAGGGTGTTGGCTATTCCTGCCAAATAAATCACCACGGTCTCGAATTGGAGGTTTGCCATAGCTCTGAATAAGAGCAAGGCAAATTTCCACTCATCCTATACTTCTGGGATTTATTTTTGACTTACCAGCCAGTCTGAAGTCTTTAGGTTTCCCAATGGTTTCCTATTTCCTTCCTTATTCCTCTTATTACTTCCTAGACTCATCACCAAGTGCATTGGGGAAACAGTACTTGGAGTTTGGATCCCTATTGTAGGTCTACCCCCTTCATGTTGGAAAGCAAGGAGTGACATTTGTACGACCATATGTCTAATACTTTTTGTAACTGGTTTTGGCTAGTTGCATTCTAAGGGCTCTGTTTAATTGGGTTATGGGTTGCAACATAAGTCACAATATACAAATACTTGGTGACTTGGATTAAGATCTGGGCACATTTAGCAAGGCTAGTAGAATCAAGATCCTCTTTTTCACAATCCATTCCCACATGCTAAGCAGAGTATGTGAAAATTCTGTTCAAGGAATGGAGAGGGATATGGTGTGCTGCAAAGAGGAAGAGAGTCCTCTCTAAATGAGTGGCACTCCATCCATAACCAGAACATTTTCAGGGGGCTTATAGGGATAATTTTATTAAGAGGGCAAGGAAGGACATTTATGCCACCTATTATACATATCTACACCTAGATTATTTAGTAGACATGCATTGCTAGAATAACAAGGAGTATTGGTAATGAATGCACAGAAATACTTTGGGAATCATGTCAGCAATTTTAGTAATAGGTGAGTCTTGCACAGTAGCCATTTTGTGTGGGTGCCCATCAGATGCTTTCAAAACCCTAACCGTAAGATAGAACCAGAGGTGGGATTCAAATATGTGAACAACTGGTTCTCTGTGTGGATGCCACTTCTGGAAATCCATTCTGGGCCTGGGCAACAAAAATTACCTACCGGTTCTGCTGAAGTGGTGCAAACTGGCTGAATCCCACCACTGGATAGAACCCAAGTAAAGTTGAATACCACTGAGGTATGGAATGCATTTTACCTGTCTAAATTTGATGGAAAAGAGATTTTGCCAATCAGAAGCAAATTGTATATAGAAGCTTGACCTCCAGTGACCTCATAATATAATGCTTGTTTATGAATGCGAAAAATGCATTTAAAATAATGAAAGCTTTATGATTATAGTAACCAGCAATATTTAGCTTTTCTCCTGTAGATGATGGGCTTCCAGGTATGAAGCCTAAACTTCTGACCCCAAATCTCTTTTTATTTGAGTAGAAGGAAAAAGGATGGCTCCAAGATCAGTGCATGAAAGTTGGAGATGCATATTTAATTGTCTATTCCATCACGGACCGGGCAAGCTTTGAAAGAGCATCTGAGCTAAGGATTCAGCTCCGCAGGGCACGGCAGATGGAAGACCTTCCTATTATTTTAGTAGGCAACAAAAGTGATCTTGTAAGGTGCCGTGAAGTTTCTGTTTCAGGTAAGGATGTTTCTCTTCAGTTGTTTTTGCTTCAACTCTTTAGATGCTGTAACTTTAGGCATATCTACATTATGACTTGTTTGCCCAACAATTATGAGTGGGGAAGGTAGAGGTTCTTTAAATTCCAAAAGAGAATTAATTAATAGTCCAGCCCAGTCCTCAACTTACAACAGCTCGTTTAGTGACCATTTAAAGTTACAACATCATTGAAAAAAGTGACTTATGACTGTTTTTCACACTTATGACCATTGCAGCATCCCCATGGTCACATGATCAAAATTCAGATGCTTGGCAGCTGACTCATATTTGTGATGGTTGCAGTGTCCCAGGATCATGTGATCATCTTTTTCAAACTTCTGACAAGCAAAGTCAGTGAGGAAGCCAGATTCACTTCACAACTGTGTTACTAACTTAACAACTGCAGTGATTCACTTAGCACCTGGGGCAAGAAAGGTCATAAAATGGGGCAAAACTCACTTTAAAAACTCACTTTAGCAACAGAAATTTTGGGCTTAATTGTAGTTGTAAATCAAGGATTACCTATAGTGAAGTGGCATTACTGAAACAGGCTTCATTCAGGGAGATATTTTTTCTTCCCCTTTTTGTCTTTTAAGTGAGCATTAAGTGTTTTGTTTCCTGGGGGATTCTGGGAATCAAAGTCCACATACGTTAAAGTTTCCAAGTTTGAAGAGCGCTGCTTCCTAGGAATACTTCTGAATTATTTTCCCTTCAAATCTTTTCCAGAGGGCCGAGCCTGTGCAGTAGTGTTTGATTGTAAGTTCATTGAGACCTCAGCAGTTGTACAGCATAACGTGAGAGAGATGTTTGAAGGCATCGTACGTCAAGTTCGTCTGAGAAGGGACAGCAGAGAAAAGAACGAGAAGAGGCTGGCATATCAAAAGAGAAAAGAAACCATTCCTAAGAAGGCGAGGAGATTCTGGGGGAAAATCGTAGCCCGAAAAAACAAGAATATGGCTTTCAAACTGAAGTCCAAATCTTGCCATGATCTCTCTGTCCTTTAGGAACTTGGGACGCTAGACTTTTATCTATCACAAATATTCCACATAATCTCCAGAACTGAGAAAAATCAATCTATATTAGATTGGTCAAAACAGCTCATCTGGAATCACAATTGTGATTATTGTGATGGTGCATGCCTGCAATACAGCAAGCATGGTCTCATGCATGGAAGAAGGAAAGTCATTTACAGTATATGTTTGGCTTACGCTTATATTTGAAATGAATGACCGTACTGGACTGGGAGGAGCATTTTTATGCTCTCTGAAAGAACATTCCAAACAATATAGTGAGATGAGTCTGAAAAAATACAACCTGTGGAAAGGGAAACTCCTATAGTTACCTTCTTCCTAACCAACCAGTTGCTTTTCTTAAGTGTGCACTGCTAAGTCTTATTCTTACAATATCATCCGTTGCAGTGGCTAGATAAGTATCAGCAGCATCAGCAGATAATCAGATGCTCATATTACTAGGAACACTAAAGCCAGCCACCCATTGATGATTATTGTCATGAAGTCAACACTGCCTCAATTCTAAATCCATTCACTTTCTGCCCTACTGGTTCTACACCCATTTGTATTCTGATCGGGCACCTAGCATGTTGTTTTATAGCCTGAGGTTCTAAAAGACAAAGTAGGCAGGCATTGCAGCAGATCTGATAACAAATTCAATTTTTTATAACTTTTTTTATTATTCCACCTCCTTTCCTCCTCGCTGCCAAGTGAAACAATAAAAGCATGGCTACCTCTGAAATAAAAGCACATACATCACAAACCAGCAATTGCTATGGCATAGCATCATCAATTAATGGGGTCATTGCCCATTGAAGAGGCAGGGAGAAAATATCTTAATGTGCTATGTGCACATGTGCCTTTGAATCAGTGTTAACTCCTGGTGACTGCCAGAAAAAGTCCCTGCATTTTTCTTGGCAAGAGTTTGGAAGTGGTATGCCACTGCCTCCTTCCAAGGGCTGAGAGAGAGTGACTGGCCCAAGGTCATCCAGCTGGCTTTGTGCCTAGGGCGAGACAAGAACTCACAGTTTCTCAATTTCTAGCTGGCGCCTTAATCATTACACCAAACTGGCACTCCTTAATACGGTTAATTATCTAGAGATGCTTATGCTGTTATTCTCCAACATGGAGAATTAGTCTGAATACCAATAATAAAGAACGTTGGGAGCTTTAGTTAAGTAATTACTGTAAAGAATAAACATTTTCTTATTTCTCTCTAGAGCCATTCAGAATTCCTAAAAGCAGCATAATAAAGCCAGACATACTCAGGAAAGGAGAGGCCATTAGCTCACTCATGAAGGGGAGTTCCTGTCTGAATTCAATTAAGTTTTTGCTATAAATTACTTCAAATCAACTTTCGCTTGTATCACCCTACAGCATTGTTATGGTATGAACGGTAGATCCTGAAACTGAAACTCATGGGTGAGATGTAAATTTTTGAGAAGGTGGATTGCCTTTTAGTAAAAATAAAAAAGACAGTTTGTTCTCAAAATAAGTTTATGACATTACTTTTATATTTATTATCTTTCAGTTATTAATTGTATTTTCAATGGGTGAGCTTGAAGAGGGGAGGATGGAAGGACTGTGGAAAATATAGTGTTGAAATATATTTATTAAATGATTTATTTAGAAAATGTTGGTTTTTGTTACTGTTTTCTATTATCTTTTGGACTAAGCAACATTTATTTGCATACCTTAAAAATCAATAAAATACTTTATTGCTCTTAAGATGAAATCTCAAATACTCCTTTAATGGTGTGTAGTCGGTGTACTAACTCTTCATATTTGTAATTTGTTTCTTAAATTGTGAATTCTCAGTTTACAATTTATAAATTTAATAAATAAATTTAAACAAAAGTTTTCAGTCATTAAAAGCAAGTAAAGGGAGTTCACCATTCAGCCCACCAGACCCGGAAGGCAGGGTATGTTGCCTGTCCCACCTATCAGGGATGTATTTCTGGTGGGAACCATAAAAAAAAGGCTCTTCTCTATGGAACATCATTCCTCCTGAGATACAACTGGCTCCCAGCTTGTTGCTTTTCTGAAAGAACCTGAAGATATGGTAATGTAGGTGGGTATGGGGAGCATGAATAGAGATGGAGATGATCAAGTGGTTGATTTGATAATGTTATTGTTACCATTGGTTGGAGTGGGGTGGGGTTTTATCGGTTTTTATGTTGTTGGTTTTTAATTTTGTAAGTTGTCTGGAGTCACTGTTGTGTGAGTTGGGCAGCCATATAAGTGGAATAAATAAACATATTTTAAAATATTATTGAGTAATAAATAAAAATAAAGTATATTATAAACATTGATTCAATATTAGGAAGAAAAATCAACCTCTTCTTTCATCTTCCTAAAAATTCCTAGCGGGAATTCACCTCATAGACAGAAAAACAAAATATGGGTTTGGATAAACACATTCACTTGTCATTTTTTCCTCACTAGCTTCATGGTATAGGTCAGATAACTTGGTTATATTTTCACCTCCCTTAAGTAGAGAAGATCAAATACAGATAAAAGCATTTGCCACGATGAGGGAAGCTTTCCGTTTACTCTTCTGGCTCTACACATCAGCATTTAGACAAACAGATTTATTAGCTAAATGCAGGAACTAAAAACCAAGGTTTTCCAAGACAGCATGAGCTCATTGAGCCTTAGTTTGCTAGCCTCTCTTGTAGAATAAGTAAAATATAAACAAATATCAAACAGAATAACAGAGCTGGAAGAGATCTTGAAGGTCTTCTAGTCCAAACTGCTGCTCAAACAGAAAACTCTATACCATTTCAGACAGCATTTGTCCGAAATGGTATAGGGTTTCCTGCCTGAGTAGGGGGTTGGACTAGATGACCTCCAAGGTACCTTCCAACTTTATTATTATTATTATTATTATTATTATTATTATTATTATTATTATTATTATTATTATTATTATTAGTAGTAGTAGTAGTAGTAGTAGTAGTAGTAGCAGTAGTTGTTGTTGTTGTTGTTGTTGTCCAATCTCTTCTTAAAAATCTCCAGTGTTGGAGCACCCAGAACTTCTGAGGAAAGTGGTTCCTCTGATTAATTGTTCTGTCAAAATTAATTAACAAAATTAATTTCTGTATGAAAAGAGCAAAAATGATGGTTTAACTGAAAAGTCCAAACTAAAGTGAGAATAATTGGCTGAAAAATTATGTATAAAGTGTAAATATGCTGCTAGATAAGATGACTCTTACCATTTCAGCTAATTAGCTTAACAATAGGGAAAAACGTCTTCTAAGGGTTGGATGCAATATGGATTTGGAATTAACAGGAAATTACCAAATAGAAATGCTTCTTTTGTTTGCTTTCTTTCTCTACTATTTAATAAGGGTTAATTGTTGACCTGCCCTAGAATTTTAAAACACATCATACCATTTGGCATCCTAAAAGTAATGGAAATATCAGTATACTAATATCAGTATAATATGTACTTTGTTGTATTTAACAACTTTTCCATTTAGAAAAGCTTTCAAATGAAAATCAAATATCATGTTATGCATAAATAGCCTGAAGGTTATTTTTTCCTCTCAAAGCCACTTTGAAATGAAGAGATTATAAAGAAAAGATGGGACGTTGAGTAATTGGGACACAATATCTCCAACCCTACCAAACAAACTGAACTGTACAACACCCATTTATATTATATTTTTGAGCTGGAGAGATTGCTATCACAAACAGTTATTAAGAACTCTAATTTGAATAATTTCAAGAACTGCCTTCAAGAAGACCAGTTTCCTTTTCAAGAGTCTTCTCAATTCCTTAAAAAAAAAAGATTTGTATGTGATAATGATTTAAATATCTGGAGAGCCTGTTTCTGATGGTATACTTCTATTGAAATAAGCTAAATTAGAAAATAGACCTTTATTTTTCAAATATAATGGAATTAGGTCATCTGAACAGCCATAATGTGGAACAGATCTACCAAAGAAAGTTTGAGATGGCACTATATGTACATGTATCTAATATTAGATTGAGATGTAATATGGTATGGTTATTTTAGTGCTATTCATTTTTGCCTTTGTATATATAAACTATAACTTATGATTTAACAGCCTTATCTCTGAGTCAGATTGTTGAGGTTTATTTTACAAACAAGCAAAATATGAGCCCAATTACTGGGAAATTTATCAACTCACGATATTTTCTGAAAGGTGGGTAACTAGAAATGGCCAACTGAAACCGGAAGGCCTGACCTGACCATGTCTTTCAAGTGATTCTTCAATATCTGAGTCATAGAGGCACTCAATCTGAGTTACGGTGACTTATGTCCTGGCTACGTCTAGGAATGACACTTTGTTCAAAGGTTTCATCCTGTGGGCAGGTGTGGTTCTAATCCAGAGTACGTGACAAAGCAGTTCACTCTGAAAGGATTTCCCTTGAAGTGCATGTTTGTGAGTTATGGCAAAGATTATAGTAGATTAATGTTACAACGGTGTTTCCCTAGATACAGTATCTGTTCATAGTGAAATACTAAGGATAAGAATTTTGGAGGTTCCAAGTAACTGATGCTGGTTTGGGAAAGGTTCTTTTAAAGCAATATTTTTCAACCTCAACAATTTGAAGATGTAGAACTTCAGTGCCCAGAATTCCCCACCCAGCCATGTGTGGCAGTGAATTCCAAACATGTTAAAGGTGCTGAAGGTGAGAAATACTGCCTTAAAGACAGATTTCCACTTTCCTTGCCTAACCACAGCTAAATCAAACAACAGCTTTTGTTTATGATAATTACAGGTAGTCCTCAACATATGACCACAATTGAGTCCCAAATTTTTGTTGCTAAGCAAGACAGTTGTTAAGTGTGAAAAATGGTCATAAGTCACTTTTTTCAGTGCCATTGTAACTTTGAATGGTCGCTAAGTGAATAGCTGAAAGTTGAGGACTACCTGTAACTGCAGATAATCTACAGTACTAAATTTTTCAAACAATGGGACTGAAGATGGAGAAGGCGTTCACTTTAGTTATGTAGATTCGTTTGAAGGTATCCTTTGTAACAATCTAGATTGTTTTATGTGGCAAACCTGTGGCACGCATGCCAGAGGTGGCAGTCAGAGCCCTCTCTGTGGGCACACATGCCATTGCCCCAGCCTCGCCTCCCCCCGTGACCCCCTCCTCACCAGCAGCCCCCCTGGAGAAGAGTTGCCCCCGAGCGTGGCCCATGTGGAGCACCGCAGCCAAGAACATGGCAGCCAGGCAGCATAGACAAGAATCTGGCTTCATGCCCCATCATGCACAGTTGATGCTGCGGGGCGCGGGCAAAGGGTGTGGCCGCCATGGCGCTGCTGGGCTGCCTGGGCGATCTGCGGCAGGCCCTGGAGGTGGTGAATGGCCCTGCGGGGAGCGGGGTGGGGGCAGGGCAGGGGGTGGAGTGGAGGCGGTGCCAGTTTTTGGGCACTCGGTCTCTAAAAGGTTCGCCATCACTGGTCTAGATATTATCTATCTATCTATCTATCTATCTATCTATCTATCTATCTATCTATCTATCTATCTATCTATCTATCTATCTATCTATCTATCTATCTTCTATCTATTTACCTATTTATCTATTTATCTATATTCTACCTTCATTACTTTTTACAAACATCTCAAGGTGGCAACCATATGCAATATAACTTCCTTCTTCTATTTTCCTCACAAAAGCAATCCTATGAGTTGAATTGGGCTGAGAGAGAGTGACTGAGCCAAAGTCACTCAGCTGGCTTTCATGGCTAAGTTGGGACTAGAATTCACAGTGTCTTGGTTTCTAGCCTGGTGCCTTAACCACTAATCCAAACATCATGGAATTGAATTTCTTGTCCGTGTGTTTTAAGGTATGTAAAAGCATTGCAGATATACTGCATGGTATAAGCC